GGGCCGAGGAGGGGCGCGGGCGCAGCGTGGGGCCCGCTGAGCCTGGGGCGGGCGAGGGCTGGGGCCTGCGGGCTCCGGGGGCAGCCTTCCCCCGGCAAGCCCGTGGCGGGTGGAGACCTCGGGCTGCGGGCCACAGCGGCCTGGTGACAGCGCCAAGCGGCTGGCGCGGCGCGGGCGGTTCTTGGAAAGCGCCCGCTCCCTCCCGCGGTTTCGGGCTTGCTGCCATAAACTGAGCAGCCCCTCCGGCGCGCCCGGCTGGGCCGAGCCCCGCTAGGTCAGCACGGCCCCGGGCGGGCCAGCGGGGCCCGAGGCGGCAAGCAACAGGCAGCAAGGTCCAAGAATCTCTTTATAAAACAGGCAGCGCGCGCGGCGCTCACACGAATATCTGGATGCGGTCGCGGATGGGCTGGCGGCAGATGGGGCAGGCGCTAAGCGCGGCGCCGCAGGGCGCGCACGCGCCGTGGCCGCACTGGAACACGAGGCGGATGTGGCTGTCGATGCAGATCGGGCAGGTGATGCGCTCCTCCATCTGCCGGTAGCGGCTCTGCAGCTCCTCCACCAGCTGCCTTGGCGGGCCAGGAGCAGGGGCGGCGCCCGCCACCTCGGAGCCGTCTGCGGGGTGGGCACGGGTCAGCCGGCAGGACGAGACCCCCATACTGCCCCTAGCCCTCACCCACCTGGGCGCAGCTTCTTGCCGATGGCCACCTGACAACGGATGCACTTCTTCATTCTGCGTGCGCACTCTGCAGGGAGAGCAGCAGCATTGCTGCGCAGGCCAAGGTCCCGAAACCCACCTCCCCGGGACCCCACACTCACCCTCGCACACGGTGCGGTGCTGGCACGGCGAGAATAAAACCAGCGGTGCCAGCTCAGAGCACACCAGGCACTCTGCAGCCTCTGGCGCCGAGGCGGCCACGTGCAGATTGGTCACGGTATTTGGGGTGCTCCGTGTGAGCCTGGGGCCCGCAGCCAGGCCGCCCCCGACGCCCACCTGCCTCTCTCTGCAATTGGAGTAGCGGGCTTGAAAAGTCCCTGGGCAGGCCGCACCCTCCTCCCCCGAGGTGCACGCTCACCGGAAGCGCTGAGCACAGCCTTGCAGCGCCTTGAGCACGCGCGCCTCGGTGGCCAGGTCTAGGGGGGTTCGGCCGCGGTGGTTGGCGTAGCTGAGGTCGGCGCCCTCCAACGCCAGAAAGCAAGCGACTGCAGCGCCCACTGTCAGCTCTGTGCTGCCTGGGAGCCCCAAGGCCTGCAGCTGTGCCACAGGACAGGAGCCGGTCAGGGGGGGCACAGGCCGCGCGAAGCAGGGCCCCTGCTCTTGGCCTCAGGGACAGGGCAGCCTGGAGACCCCAACAACCCATGCTGGTGCAGACCAGGGATGAACGGCAAACCTGTTCCCCAGCCCTGAACCCCCAGCCTGCCCCCATCACCAAGGCTGGGTGGAGCCATGGGCACCCCTCTCCATACCCATTCTGTACTTCCTCACCCTGGACAGCAGCTGCACGGGCCCTGGATCCCCCCCAGCCCTGTCAGCCACCAAGGGCAGCAGTTGATGCCGCTGCAGTGCCACATGCAGGGCTGTGTCCCCCTCCTCGTCCTCCGTGTTGACGCTGCAGCCCGCGTCCACCAGCAGTGGCACCAGCCCCACGTGGCCTTGCTGCACTGCCAGGTGCAGGGGGGACTGCAGCTTGCGGTTCCGTGTGTTCACGTCACAGCGGCCCTGGGAGGAGACGCGGCTCAGCCCAGTGCCCCAGATGGGCCTGGCTCCCATCCCTGGGGAGGCCAGGGACCTGCACCTACCTCCTGGATCAGGATCTGGGCCACCTCTCGGTGGTTGTTAAGAGCAGCCAGATGAAGGGCCGTGAAGCCGTCCTCTTTCTTGGCATCCACCAGCTGCCGAGCCCGCAGCAGGATCTTCCTGACAGCTCTGTGGGAGCAGGGAGGTCTGTCCAGGCCTGTCCAGGCGTGGCCCAGGAACAGTGGGCTGGCAGGGTGCCCACCCCAACTCACCGTGCATGGCCCTTGAGGGATGCGTGGTGCAGCAGCGTGAAGCCCTGGCCATTGGTGGCAGTGAGGTTAATGCCTGGCATCTCTGTGAGGACCTCTACGATACCACTAGCACCAGCGCCCGCCGAGATGGCCGAGTGCAGGGGCGTGTCTGCATGGGCGTCCTGTGGCCGGAACCAGTGGTCACTCTACAGACACTTCTCTGGTCTGCTGGGTCAGGGTGCCCGGGAGCCCACACTCACAGGCAGGTTGACGTCACAGCCACGCTCACACAGGACCTGCACCACCTCCAGGAAGCCCCTCTGCACTGCCACGTGCAGGGCTGTGCTCTGGGTGCAGTTGAATGCGTCAGCCCCACAGCCCGCGCTCAGGAGCACCCGCGCAGCCTCGGGTTGGTTCCTACGGGCAGAGGAAGGGCCGCTGCTGTGGGCTGGACCCCGGCGCAGTCCCTGGGGAGCCCCAGCTGGCCAAGTCTCACCCCAGGGCCGCGTAATGCAGCGCAGTGTTGCCCCCCTCATCTGGTAGGTCCACGCCTGCTCGGGCCTGCAGCAGCCGACGCACCAGCTCCACCTGTCCCAAGTAGGTGGCGACCTGCAGGGCAGTCCTGCCCTGGTTCCTACTGTCCACCTGCCAGGGGAGCCAGCGATGAGTCCCGCCTGGCTTCCTGATGGCCCCGGGGGCAGGCAGGGCAGAACTTGCCTGCTCTGGGTGCCTCCGCAGCAGGTCCACTGCTCGTGCCACGTTGCCCAGTGCTGCCTCCACCACCAGCCTCCCAGGGCGCTCAGGGTCACTCTTCTGGGCCCGCAGCTTGTCCAGGGCCACACTCAGTGAGCCTGGGAGCAAACAGTCAGTGCCAAGCAGAGCCACCCTGGCTCCCCCCAGCACCCACCAGGGCTGGTGCCACACTTTTGTTCTCCCGGGCACGCTCGGCCACATCCAGGTTGGTGTCCTCCTCGGGCCGGTAGGCCACCAGGCAGGAGGGGCTGAAGGTCCACCACTGACCACCAACTGCCACACGTAGGTTGCCGTCACCAAACACCTTCACCACCTTGCCAACACGGCCCAAGGCCTGCGGGGAGAGGTGGGGTCGTGGCAGGTCTGTGGGACACAGGGTCAGTCAGCAGCAAGATGGGTACTCACGGGAGCCATGTCATCTGTCCACTCGCCGTGCCCAGCCTGTAGCCGCTTCACGGTGTCAAGGTCATCGATGACCCGGACCACATCGCCCACCCAGAAGGAGTTGTGCTAGGTGAGAAAGAGACAGGTAAGAGGGTCCCCCCAGCTGCACGTGGCTTCTCAGTGCTGTGGAGGGCCCCATGGAGCCAGCCACGCAGGACAGTACCCTAAGCACCAGCAGAGGGTCTGGATGGACAGAACCACAGGTGACTAAGGCAGCCCTCGGTGGCCCAGCCCATCATGGGGGTGACAGCTGAGGCAGCTGCGCAGCAGTGTCTATACTGGGTGAAAGTCACCTCTAGGGAAAGGCTAGGGTAGTATGGAACCAGAGCTGGACACGGGTGGGGCAGAGGCTGCAGCCCAGAGCGCAGAGCAGCCTCCACCAGCACTGTCCTGAAACTGCCCTGCCACTCCCCCGTGTCGTGGACCCCACGCACATGCTGCCTACCACCGGCACCCTCCTGGCCCTGTCCTCAGTCCTGTACCTGCTCTTGGGGTGCCTGCAGGGAGGCCCTAGGAAGGAACCTGGCCCTCAGGCCCGGCCTGCCACACTGCCCCTCTAGACCCAGGGCTCTGGCAGCTGCCCTTCCTCTGGGCCCACTCTGCCCTCGGTCTGCCACTCTTGGGCTCCAGCAAACTGGCCACCTGCACAGCAGAAGAGGTACCCAGAGGAGGCTTGGCCCAGCCCCCAGGCACCTTGGTGAGAGCCCCGGGTGGAAGGTCCAGCGGATCTCGTGGCTGAACTGCACACGCACGTCCCCACGGCCGGTGATGCGGTGCATGGTGCCCATCTGTCCGATAAACTGTGGCGGGTCACGGAGGCCATGGCTGGGGCAGGCAGAGGGCTTGGACGGGAGGGGATGTGGGGCTCAGCAGGCTGGGCGGCTCACCTCGGCCATCCTAGGATTCCAGCCGCCGTGGCCTTCCTGCATGTCCCTCAGAATATCTGTGTCCAACAGACACTTGACTTTGTCCCCACGTTGCAACAGCTGGCCATCAGCACTCACCCTACGTTGCAGCTCGGCTGGCTTACCTGGGGAGAGTGGCAGGCCAGGCCTTAGCATGCCAGGGTACCCAGGGCCAAGGCCGGGGTGGGCAGCAGGAGCGACCCCTACCGAGCCGCGGGAGGTGCTCCTTGTAGTAGAAGCCGCCTGCTGCCTCGCCCACACACTTGAGGTCCACCTTGCCCTTGTGGCCCACACGGTATACATTGGTGGTTCCGTCTGCCCAGGTCACACTGGCTACACTTCGGCCGGTCTCCACATCCCAGCCGCGGATGTCCACCACACGGCCCAGCTTCCCTTCTCCTCCTAGGGAGACAGTGTCCCCACCAGAGGGCTGAGCATGTGCCCTGGGTCCAAGCTGCCCACTTGCCCACCCCAGGCCACCACTCACCATCCTGGGAGCCCCACTCCCAGTCGGGGCCTCGTACCACCTTCGCTCCCTGGAAGATGCCCCTGAGCGGTGTGCGCGGAAGGCCCTGGCGGGGACTCAGCACAACACTGTGAAAGGACCAGGCCTGAGCCCTACAGAGGCAGCACTCACCCTGTCTGGGGCTGCAGGACAGGTGCCCGGCTAATGGCACAGGGGCCGCCAACAGGCAGCTGGGGCCTAGGGCACACACTGCCCTCCACATGGAGGGTCCACATGCAGGACACTGAGTGGTGGTTCTGGCTGCTGCTCATACCTGGCAGAGGGGTCTCTCCCAGCCTCTGCCTAGCTGTGCAGGCAGCTGGCTCCCAGGGTGGCTGCCATTTAGCCACACACATACACCCTCCCCTGGGGCCTCCCTGCAGCTCTGGGCTGTGCAGGTAGAGGTAAACCTGGCCACAGCAACTCTCTGGGAGACCTGCTTGGGGATGCAGTGGCCTTTGCAGGAGTGACTTTGGCCCTGTATCTTCCTCAAGGATGGTTCAGGAGGGACCTGCCTTCCCTCCCTGGGAGCGGCAGAGCCCTCTGAGGACAAGGACTCACGGTCGAGAGTGGGCTGTCTCATAGCGCTCGAAGGCGTGGGTGAGGTCATGCTTGTTGTGCATATAGCACTGTGTGCAGAGGTCGTAGTCAAAGCAGACCCGGCACTTCCAGCGCATGCCCCGTAGCCCATGCTTCTTGCAGCAGTCACAGATGATGTTGGGGTGTCGGACACCTGGAGACAGGGTGACATGGGGTCAGCAGGTACCCTGGGCCCTCATCCCACCTGGCCAACCCCACCCGCCTTGTGCACTGCCACGCACCGATCTGGGCGTTGTCATAGAGCAGCAGGTCGTGGGCGCCCTGGTAGCCGGCTCGATAGTTGGTGCGGGTGCCCTGGTCCCACTGCACCACGACGGTGCGGTCAGGCGTTGAGGGGCTGCCATGCCGGCCCAGCTCCACCACGGTGCCCACGCCGCCCTCGCCTCCATCCTGCTGGCCCCACTTCCAGTCCGTACCGCGTACCACACGCATGCCCACCTGCACGCCCGCCTGGGGGTCGGGGTCCATGGCGGGCAGGCTGCTGAGACCTGCAGCACAGAGCACGCTCAGGTGACGTCGGGGAGACCGTAGCCAGCCCACAGGACACCTGTCCGGGGAGAGGAGCAGGGCCTGGAGTGCAGAACACAAACCCTAAAGAACCTGCAGAGAGGGCAGGAGGCGAGCACCCCCAGGCAGGGAGGGAGGCAGCGTGGCACTCGGCCAGCACAAGCAGCCACAGCCTCAGGGCTGGGCAACAGCTGTCAGCCAAGGACCCGGGACAGGAGACCAGTGCTAGGGGCTTGGCACCCAGCCCACCATCAGATGACTTTCTCTTGGGTTTTTTGTTGTTGTTGTTTTTAAGAGAATGATCTCCAGGGTGTTCAGGGTCTCACTACTAGATCAGACTCATATTGATCTGCCTGTTTACAGCCTCCCAAGACCTGGGATTGCAGGTGTGCACCACCACGCCCGGTCTTCTCTTGGGGTGCTTGTGACTGAGCCCATGGGAGGGACTGCACTTGGTCTTGGGCAGGCTAGGTGAGGGTTCTATTGCTTGCTGCAGCCCCAGCCCTGCATTTAAAATGACTGGATTTGCAGTGAAGACAGCAGTTTGAAGGTGACACAATTCCAGGAGAAAATGGACTATTTCTCTGCGTTATCAAGTGATGTGTGGGGCTGCATGGAAGGCCACAGCCCCTGGGGCCACACCTACCCCCGGGCCCTTCAGGGGGCTTCCCAGAAGGCCCAGGGGCACCACATAGGGTGAGAAAGGCCAGGCAAAGAAGTGAGGAGCGCGAGGCCTGAGACAGCAGGCACTGCCACGACAGGCCTGTCCGTGGCCTTGTTTGTGGGGCCGTGCTCAGCACGTGGTGCCACTCTCACAAGCTCTTGCCCACATCCTCCAGGAAGAACTTGGCTCTGAAGTATCTTGGGGGTTTCTGATTGCCTTTCTTTCTTTCTCCTCAAACAGGGTCTCACTCTGTAGCTCAGGCTGTCCTTAAACTCCAGGCAATTCTCCTGCCTCAGTGTGCTGAGTATTAGAACAACAAGCCACCATTCCTGGCTCCCAAAACCCTTTATTCTCAGATGGGGTCTCACTAAGTCTGTAAGATACCCAGGCTGGACTTGAACTTAAATCCTCCTGCCTCTGCCTCTTTTAGTCCCCAAAGGAACACAAACCAAGCTCACAAAGGGAGACCAGGGCCAGGGAGATGGCTCAGTGGAATAAGCGCTTCACTGGCGAGCGCAAGGGCCTGAGTTTAATCCCCGGTTCCGCCAAAAAAACCACCACCAACAAAAGGAGACTGAAGGGCAGCAAGTCCGGGAGAGGGCACTCCAGTGGCTCCACAGTAGCTTGCAAATGGGACAGCAACTCCAGGGATTCTGGAGCTGACCACTGGCAATGTCCTGGCATTCATTTTGTGTGACCTATGGCCTGAGAATTTGGTATTGTACTATTTTAAAATAAAGTCTTGTTAATAAGAATGCATTTTATTGGTGCTGTTTTGTTTGTGGTACTGGGTTAAGCCTAGCACTGATCCTATGTTGCCTAGGCTGGGCTTGAACTTGTGATCTTCATGCCTCAACCTCCCAGAATGCTAGCATTTTTACAGATGTGCACCACTGTGCCCAGCTAATACAGATGAATTAGAAAGAGATGACCTAGGCAGGGAGAGGGCTCAGGGAGCTACTCCTCTCATCCTCCACCTGGCCTACTCCAGAGTCCCTTTCCTATCTCCTAGGCTGGGTGACTCAGGACCCCGTTCCACAGCTACAGCTGGGCCAGCAGGAAGGCCACAGCCAGGCTCAAGCCCAAGTGTCTGTAGCCACAGCAGAGGCCAAGCGAGGGCTGCCCCAGGGCTTGAGTGAGGCACTACGCTGTACCCCCTAGGTTCCTGGTCATGAATCGCCTGGCCAGCTTGGCCTCCTGGGCTCTCCCTACCCCACCCGACACCCAGGATGTCAAACTGCTTCCGGAACAGATAGATTCACTGATTTATTGGTCACTCTGGGCCTGAACCCAGAGTCTGCACATGGAGCCACATTCCTAGCCCTACTTGTCCAAGATGAGGCACACCAGGACAGGCCTGGACTTCCTGTTCTCTGGCTTCAGCCTCCTGTGTAGCTAGGACTGTAGGCGGGTACCAATGTGTCAAAAGCGCGTGCTCTCCCGGCCCAGATGGCGTGGCTCTCCCTTGCCTTGGTGGTTTCTGGAGACCTTGCTTGGAAGCAACACAGAGGCCTCCTCCTCTGCTCACAGGGAGGCCCAGCCTACCCTGCTGTAACCATAGCTCCCTGCGGACCCCCAGGCCAAGGTGCTCAGCTCCAGCAGCCAGAGCTGCCTTCCCCATACTCCTCTGCAGCCCAGGGTCCTAGAGTGCTGCTCAACTCCCCATGACCCTGGCAGTGAGCCCAAGGGCAGGGCGGTGAGGCCCACCAGTGTGGCTGTTAACGGACATCCCATGTGCACCTTGGCCAGCCCCTGCCAACCTGATGGCCAGGTTCAGGAAGTAAGACCCACAACAGCAGAGAAAACAGCACTTGGCTTCTATAATGACCATAGCCCCTCAGCCCCCGATCAGCCAGCCTGGCACCGCACCCAACCCAAGCAGCATAGCCACGGCTGGCACACAACACAGTTCTACTGGTCAGGTGGCCCCACACCCTCCCTGGCAATGCCCCAGTCCCCATGGGGGCTGTCCTGCGTGAGGTCACCCTGAAAACCACAGGCCATCCAGGCCCTACCTGGAGTACCACCCACTGGGGCAGTGCCTGCTCTCTGCAGGACTCGCTGGCATGATGGTGACACTGCCCAGCAGATCCACACGTTGTTTCTTCTTGCCAGGTGCCTGTCAGAATTAGCTATAGCCCGACACGCACAGGGGTACCCTCTACCCTAATACTCCCATTAGCAAGAGTACAGCTCCTTGAAGGCAACCACAGACCCACACAAGTGCGAGCTCCTGGGCCTTCCCAGCAAGAAATGGAAGGGTGCCCCAAGCATGAGTCAAGTCTACACAGGAGCAGCCAGTGGGCCAAGAGAGGCTGGGGCAGGTGGCTGCAGGGTCCAGGGACATCGAGACCAGGCCTCAGCCGATGACCCCTGCACAAAGAGCAGCGGCAGGCTTCCAGGAGCATCCAGTGCGTGACAGAAGAACCAACTGTCAGGCCTGGTATTCTCAACACAACCAGACAGCTCTCCAACCTGACAACCCACCACCAGGGCCCATCAGAGTCAGCACACCGAAGCTGAGACCTGGGGAGGCCCTCCTGCCCAGAACCAGCACCCTGGTGCCCAGAGTCCCCAAAGAAAGAGCCTGGAAGAGCCCAGGCAAGGCTCTGGGCACTCGCTCACTCCACAGCCTCCCCTGGGCACCAGGATGTGTGGGGTGCACCCAAGGGTCTAGCCCTAGTGGTACCTGCAGCCCAGGGAGCCTCCATGTCACCGCCCTCTTGCATTCTCATTGAGGAGATTGCAGGCTCTGTCATTAGGGTCAAAGGCAGCGTCTACCACCTGGACATCTCTCCCAAACTAAGTGTTCAGTAAAGGCTCCCTGCGGTCCCCTTGGACACGATCACCAAGAGGTAGACAGACACAGGGCTCCTGGGCACCTGGATTTGGCATCCTAGGACATGCAGGAAGATCAGGCAGGCAGCTTTTCCTGTCCCCTACTTCCAGGCCTCTGGGTCTGGCCCTTACCACTGTGGCCCCTGGGTACCTTCCACCCACCATGCAGCTCCTCTGCCCTCCGCCTCAGCACCCCTCCTTAAGCCCAAAGGGTCTCACCAGGACACTGTGAGCCAAAAGCAAAGAGACAGCAGCAAGACCCAGCCAGGGGAGAAGGGTCCCCGTCGGGGCATCGCCGCTGCTGCCCCTCTAGGAAATCTCTCCAGTGGCATGGTGTGGGACCCTGCCACCTCCACTGGTCACAGAGAACAAGGGACCACAGGGAGCCTAGCCATCTCAGAATGGAACTTGCGGACAAAGAGCTCATCCCCTGGCCTTCCCTGGCCATCACCATCTTCTTCAGGCCATGGGACAAGCGCCTGCTTGCTCAGGGCAGACCACAGGCTCCTGTGCTCAGGCTCTGGCCATGTCTAGGAAAGGGCCTAGGGCACTCAGCACCAGGCCCACCCCGCTGCAGACTTCAGGGGGTGCTGCAATGCCCAGGACACTGTGGTGAAGAATCCCCAGTGAGTGACAGGCATGGGGACCCTGTCCTGGAGAAGGACTATACCCAGACCCTCTGGGACAGATGCAGCCAGGGCACTTCACCACCAGCACCTCCTCCCAAGACCCACCCTGCCTCGGCCTCCTGACCACTGCCACACACCAGAACTTCCTGAAGAGCAGGATGCGTCTATGCCAGCAGCTCCCTCTTTCCTAACCTAACCCTGCCAGCTCTGGGCACAAAGGAAGGTTCCAGTGAGCCCTCAGCTCCCTGAAGCTGCTTAGCTCTGGGCCACAGCTGGCCTAGCGCTTCAATCTGACCTGTTGAAGTCCCACGGGACAGCCATAGCCTTGTGAGACTACAACCCAGCCCAGTGTGCTCTGCCCTGCCCCACAATCCCAGCTCCAGACACACAACTGGCCTTTCCTCGACCCACAGAGCAGGGGCCTGAGTGACCCCACCATCCTGTTCCTGGACATGCAGCTGACCCTTCATCCTTTGGGATGCCGCATACATCTGCACACAACCTCAGTGGGAACCTGACTCACAGAGTTCCTAGCTTGCTTCCTCTGCCATAAAGGTTGGACTTGATGACCACTCCAGATTTTGGAGTCGCACCCCTGGCTGGTAGTGGAGGCTCTCAGCTTGCTACAAAGATCCACAAACACTGTGGGGCCATCAGAGTATGACGAGTTGGTCAGCAAATGTGCTTCAGAGAAATCAGAACTCACCTCAGAGCACACAGCACCCTTGATTCAGGCATCTACTTCTTACTTCCTGGGTCACAAATGCGCTCAGCCACCAAGATTTCCAGTGGAAAGCTAGTAGCCATTGCCAACATAGAACACAGCAAACCAAGTGGGCAGCCAATGAACCAGTCTGGAGAAAAACGGTTTTGGAGGAAGTTTTACATACTCAGTTTTGCCACCATAATGACAGAGTGGCTGCTAGGGGCGCGGCCCACACACATCTCTTTCCACAAGAACCATCCACCTCCTTACAGGACAGAAGCCCCAAGACGGTGCAGGAAGACAGTGTTCCCTATTTGTGAGTACTTTATTAGAAAGCTTTACAAACATACACAAATTAAATCATGTTTAGCAATGAAGTTAGCAGATTGCCTTTATTCAGAATAAAGTGTGACGAAGATGGCACAGGACACAAGGCTACTACTTCCATCACCTCCAGCGGGGCCCACCGATACTGCCACGTTTACATCCTGCGGCGCGGCACAGTCAACTGGCCAACAACAGCGCATGACAGGCTCCTGTCACTGGACAGCGGTGCTAAGATGCTGGTGGGCATGCAGGTGGGCAACCTGGGTGCCAGGAAGAGCAGCCACTAGGGAGCAGGGTGAAGCCCTCAGACAGACCAGTGAACCGGACCTGACACCCATCAAGGACCTGCTGGGGTAGAAAGCCATGCTGCCAGGGACATCATCATGGCTACTCTTGGCCATCTAGCTGGAGACTGTCAGCCAGCACCCCGCCACACTCAGGCTGATCTTGGGCAAGACACAACATTCAGACACTTGTTGCATGTGGGAAGCTAGCGACCCTCCCAGGATAAGGCTCTCCAGGGCTCCTGTACTTGGGATGCCGTGTCCCACCCAGGCGCTGGTGCCCAGCAGGAGCCTGTCTAGCACCTCTGCTTTTCTCCTTAATTGGGTCTGGTGGTTTATTACACCCACGCCCACACATACGCACTCAGATACAAACACAACCCTGCCAAAGCGGCACCAACACGGGATCGATCGCATCCACAGCGTAAATGCACCAGACGCCAGCTATCTGGCACAGCCAGCCAAGCGCTCACCTGTCTGGCAGTCCACGGTCCCTGCCTGCTTTGAGGCTCGGGCTGCAGCCCTGACGCCTGGACCCCGGGGACTGGCGTCCACCTGAGGCGCTTCGGGCGAACACCAAGTGATCCAACCCTGTGGCCGGGGTGTCGAGAGGCACAGTCAGCGCCCGCGACAGAATGCGACCTTCGGCGCCGCGACTCGCCCCAGGGCGCTCCGGGCTCGGAGGACGGGACCCTTGCGTCACCCGCGGGCAGCCGCGGACTGCGGACGTAGACGTCGGGGCCCGCGCGGAGCCGCCGAGGCTGCGGACGCACAGGGCACGAGCGACAGCCCAGAGGCCGCCGCACTGGGGGCGCTCCGCAGACGCTGTGCCCGCCCCCGCCCGCTCTCCGGCGCGGCCGTCCGCTGCCACCGCCCCCCAGCTCGGGGAGGCCGCCGGCCCGGCCCCCACTTGCCCGGAGTTTCCCTGCGCGCTCGGCTGGCCCAGGGGCGCGGGGCAGTGGGCAGCGCCGCGCTGTTCCCAGTCGCGCGCTGACTGTTCCGGCGCGTGCAGCGGTTCTGGCCCTTCGGCTGCTCGGGCCCCAGGCCAGGCCGCCCCGCCGCGCCGCGCCGCACCCGCGCCCACCCCGCGCCCGTCGCGACCCCTGGTCAGGTCCCTGGCCACCGCACTGCCTACCGGGAGCTGTAGTTCGCGACGCCAGGCCAGGGGGCGGGGCGGGTGCTCCCATGAGCCCCTGCGCGGGACGCACGCGACGCCGGGCGTGGGGCGGGACGGGTAGCTCCCAGGAGGCTCTGCGCGTTTCCCGTTGGGGCGGCTCAGGCTAAGGTGTGGGGCGGCGTGAGGGCGGCCGGGTCTGAGCGGATCGGCTCAGGGTGTTACGTGTTTGCGTGGTGATCGTCCTCTGTCAAAGAAAGCCACATACTGGGAAGAGGGCTTCTCGCCTGATGGCGAACTGGGTGCGCGAACCCCGAGCGCAGAGAGGCGCCGGTCGGGAGTGGTCCGTTAGCACCCTTGTGCGCCTGCGCAGGGAATTCCGAGGACGCCTTCTGTTGCCTTGGAGACGAAGGCTCCGGGACTGGCGTCCGACTCGAATAGGCGGAGCTTCCAGAGATGCACCATAAAGGCATCTTCTGTTTTGTTTAGTTTAACATCTTATTTGAGAGAGGGAGAGGCCGTGTGTGTGATTTGAGACAGGCTCTCACTACATTGCTCAGTCTGGCCGACAATTTGAGCTTCTGCCTCAACCCTCCATTTAATTGGGATTATAGGGCCACAGTAACACCTTTTGCTCTCTGCTAAGGGTTGAACCAGGGGCTACATCCTGTTTCTTCATTTTTATTTTTTATTTCTAGATAGGGCCTTGCTGAATCACTGAACTTCCAAGATATGGCTCAAATTTGGAATCTTCCTACCTGGGCACCACCATGTCAGGTTTAACAAACTCTATTTTTTAGTATTCGTGATTAAACCGAGGCCTGAGGACTGCGCTATGTCTCTGACCCTTTTTAAATCTTGAGGGCTGCCGAGGGACCAGCGTTTGTTTCCCAGCACCACATGCAGGCCACCAAGACTGGGCATGATAGCGCACACCTGTAATCCCAGCCCTGGGGTGGCTAAAAACAGGAGCATCACTGCGAGTCCAAGTTCCGTGAAGAAATTAAATGAAATAATAAAAATAAATGAAAATTTATACAGGGTCTTGCTGTAGAAGTTGCCCAGGCTAGGCTCAAACTTGGAATCGTGCCTTCTCAGTCTCTCAAAATACTACTATTGGGCTGGGGAGATCGCTTGGCGGCGTAAGTGCCGGTCTGGTAAGCACAAAGTCTGGAGTTCGATCCCCAGCACTGTAAAGGGTTAATAGAGTTTTGTGCCTTAATTGTGGAAAATTATTAAAAAAAACCCTTGTGCTTCCTGTTACCTGCTCTAAGAAATGTGTTCTCCCTTTCGACTCAAGGCTGTTCAACAATAACTGTTTCTTGTCAAGGCAGCAAGCTAACTCCCTCCCCAACCATCTTTTGTAACATAGGCAGCTTAAGATGTATCATATAAAAATATGTACTTATGATCTGGTTCCTATGCAGAGTTACCCCATAACAGGCACCACCCCCAGGTGTGGTGGTGCAAGCCTATAATCCAAGCACTGGCTAAAACAGGAAGTTCACTGGGAGTCCAAAGTAGGTAGCTAGACGCTGTATCAAATAAATAAAATGAAAATACTAGGATTACAGGGCATGTGCTACCATGCCTGATTTATCCAACATTAAAAAAAATTATCTATTTGGTACAGAGTTTCACTACACAGCTGGGACTCATAGTGACCCTCCTGTCTCAGGGCCCTATTGCTGGGATTACAGGTGTGGCGGATTACAGCCCTGTGCCACCATGCCTGGTTTCCGTGGCTGGTGTGGCGCGCCCAACCAGCACAGCATGTGGTGCCAGGGATTGAACAGATGCTGGAAGCCACCTAGGGTGTGCACAGGTGTCCCAGCTGGCGGCCAGAGGAAGCCCAGCAGTGTGAAGGCAACAGCAGCAGCTAAGGCTCAGCCAGGGTCCCAGAGCTAGACCGGGGGCAGGAGCTCTGAGGGTGAGGTGTGCTCCACTGCGGCTCCTGGGTGGGTGGCACCGGGAATCAAACCCAGGACCTCACTTTTGGTGCCACTGGGCTAAATCCCTGGCGCACTGCCGTGGTTATGCGCAAGAGTGGAAAAGGGAAGTGAGCTTTGAGGCTGCGACGCAGAGCCTCAGCCCTGCCACCTGTGGCCCGTGGAGCTTGCGCAGCAGAGCCAGGGCCTCTGCCTAGGGGAGGCCCGGGGGCAGGTGGGGGCTTCCAGAGTCCCTGCCCAGGGTGCTGGTGGGGAAGCTGTCTGGAGGGGCCCAGTGTGGTGGCTCAAGGGGACAGTGTGGCCACAGCAGGCTCTGGTGCAGAACCAGTTAAAATCAGTGTCCCTATAGAAGTGGGATTCCTTGCTGCCCTTAGAACCAGCATGGCAGGGCCGGCCAAATAGTTCATCGGATTAAAACGCCTGCAGACAGGGGCTGGAGTGCCGTCCCTGGGCCTGTGGTGCCGGCCCTGCCTTGGGGCGCGCTGAGACGGCAATTGAGACTGGGCGTGGTGGCGCACGCCTGTAATCCCAGCTCTTGGGAGGCTGTAAACAGGCGGATCACTATGAGTCCAAACTAGTTGTGAGACCTTGAGCACCCTGTAGACCCTTCCCTAAGATACAAAAAAGCAAAAAACAAAACAAAAACCCAGCATGGTGACTGCCTAGTGGGGCACGCCTGTAGTCGCAACATGTGGGAGGCTGAGGCAGGGGCATCCTGAGTTTGAGACCATCCTGGGCTCCACAGCAAGATTCTCTGCCACTGTGCCAGGACCCTTCCCAAGCACTGTGGCTGGGCCCCACCCGCAGGAATGGCTCCTCGGAACCAAGAAAGACAGCGGCCCAGTTAGTGCTCTGTAACAGACTGTACCCAATCAGGCTGTATGTGTTAGTGTGTCCATTTGTGGGAGAGAAAGACGCAAAAATGGTATAAAAGACAAAACCTCACATGTTCGAGGCTCCGCCTCTTGGGCATAGTGCACTGAGGCTGCTGGGCATGGTGGTGCGCACCTGCAGCCCCAGCAATCAGGAGGCTGGGGCGGGGTCACTGTGAGTCCAAGACCACCCAGGGCTACAAAGTGAGCTCAAGGCCAGCCTGAACTGTCTCTCAAAGACAACAAAAATACTCAGTGGAAAAAAAAAGCGGGGG